GGAGGACTTCAACTCCCAGAAGAATTCTGGGAGTTGAAGTCCTCCAGGCTTAAAGTGGCCAAGGTTGGAGACCCCTGATCTAGACAACCCATGATACGTTGGGTCAATGTTTCAGAGATACTTCCTTACCAAATTCCTTAATGCCTTCAACAATTGCAGAGCTTCTATCACACTTTTAAAAATTCAGGGGAGATATTCTGCCTTGAAAGTAGCCTGTGTTGAAGTGTATATCACAGGCAAACATCAGTAGTTGACCACAGGATATGTTTTTTGACATTTTGTATTATATCATAAAATGCTTTATGATAATTTTTATCTCATAAAATTTGCCAAATTTTGATTCCATTGGGGTCATGGATCCTACGATTTTTGAGGTATTCTATAAATTAGCCAGTTTAAGGTACCTTGGTTCTGAAATAATGCAGCGTTTCAGCCAGTTTAAGGGTTGCAGTCATGAAAGTTTAGGAGCCTATAGATTGTGTTGCTGTGGGTTTCTAGTTTTTGTATTGGGTATTATTGTACTTTTTCCTATGAAAGTTTATTATTGTGATGGCATAAAGTATAATTAATAAATAAATAATTTTTATAATTTATTTACCTTTAAAAGGACTATATACATTCTGTTTTAAAAGAAAAAAACATTACATTCAGATGCATTTTGCAATCTATATCCTGCTATATCATGTACTTATACTATTTCTTCTGGGTAAAAATAATAAAGATTGGTCTTTATTAACTATCTTAATTAAAAATAGGTATGATTCATCCTTTTAGATTAAAAAGTTTGGAATCTGGACATACACAGTATTTCACCTTGATGGAATCTGAGTCAGAAACTATGAAACTATTGTACTTACATACAATATTCAGGTTCTGTCCTTTATTCTTACATACTGATAAATAAAACACCTGTATGATCTTGATATCACTTTCCTCTTTCTTCCCATATCAATTATTCATGTAGTGGATATTTTTCAGGTACTGAAATGTGTTATTCTCTAATGCTAAAACTAAAAAGATGAAGAGCACTCCTTTTTTTAAAAAAATTAAAGAATATTCTTCAGTTAACTAGCTTTCACAACCTCCTGATTAATTTGTATCTGTTTGTTTTGGCACATAAATTCTTCATTGTAGGCCCTGGTACTTTGTTCTTCTTTACAGTTTCCGAAGTGTGATTGTGTTTCCTCCAGCAGTTGGGAAAACTGTATATTCCTGTTTCCTTTACAAATGTAAATGTCAGGATTTTTGTACGATTTTTCCCATATTTTCCATTTTGTTTATCATTTTTGTTGAAATATGTCCAGACTTGTTTCATTCTGCTTTGTTTTCCTACGAACAGACTGGAAGGCTAAAACATGATGTATTAATTGAAGGGAAAGAAAAAAAGCAAAGGCAATATTGATGTTTTTATTTAAAATGCAGCCATAATTGTTTAAAAGGGAAATGCTTCCAATAATTATTCCTTTCATGAAGCTTTTAAAAATTAGGTAATATGACAAAAATATTTTAAAGTATATAGCTGTGATTGTGAACCTATGGCATACATGCCGGAAGTGGCGCACAGAACCATCTCTCCAGGCACGCCAACCGTCTCCCATTGTCCTTCTGGGTTCCAGTGTGCTCATGCGTATTGGCCAGCTGGTCTTCGCACCTGCATGCATGCCAGAAACTGGAAGACCAAGTGGCTGAAAGTAGAAGCTGCCCTTCTGGTTTCCAGTGCTCCTGTGCGTGCATGCCAGGGAGCTGCTCTTCCAGTTTCCTGTGCTCCCCCAAGTATGTGTGGTCCCGTTTCGGCACTCGGTGCTGAAAAAGTTTGCCAACACTGGTGTATAGTGTGTGTGTGAGTGTGTGTGTGTATTTTCTTAAGTTTTCGTGGGTACTTACATGTTTGGCATTCGGCTTTGTTTGGGTATTTTCCCACGTCATTGTAGTTGTGCTTTTTTTCATCAGGCTTCTGTATGAACATTGCTATATTATAACTCTATGAATATGTGTATTCTTATTAAATACCTATGTTATCCTGCTTATTCCACAGAATGTAAAATAGCTATTTTGACCAAACTAAGCAAAGATAAAGGGTAAATCTGATTTGTTTGATTGTTTGTTTATTTGTTATGTCTTCAAGTTAGTGGCAGTTGATTCATGGCAACTGCTTGAACAAGCCCTTATAGTTTTCTTAGGAAGATTTGTGGAAGTGATTTGCCTTTGCCTTCTTCCTAGGGCTGAGAAAAGGTGCCCACCTGGCTTTTTTGACTGAGGCAGAACTAGAACTTATGGTTTCCTGATTTTAATCTGGCTTCCCAGTTTTAATCTTCTCCTTGGTAGTCCTTTCATTAGGGTATTGTTTTCTACCTGATTCTTTGTCATTATTTGTTATAAATTACTCTTCTTAAGCATGAGAAGAAAAATGGAAGTCATTTATAAGACTCCTTAGTCGAAAAAGAAAAAAAAACAGGATTCATCTATAACATATAATGTAAGGATGGTAACAGCCACTATATAGAACAGACAGGCAGAAGACTAGCAGAGTGCTTCCAGGAACACCAGAAACCTTGGCAGTTCAGCAGTTCAAATTCCTAGCACCGCGTAATGGAGTGAGCTCCCATTACTTGTCCCAGCTTCTGCCAACCTAGCAGTTTGAAAGTAGAAAAATAGGGACTACTTTGAGTGGGAAGGTAACAGAGTTCTGTGCGCCTTTGGCATTTAGTCATGCTGGCCACATGACCACGGAGATGACTTTGGGCAGCACTGTCTCTTCGGCTTTGTAACGGAGATGAGCACCACCCCCTAGAGCCGAAACAACTAGCACGTATGTGCAAGGGGAATCTTTACCTTTACCTAATTAAGCAGAAAACAATATCCTAATCAAGGAACTACTGAGGAGAAACCCACACTCCCATTAATATTGGCAGGAGAAGTTATCATATGTAAACAGAGAACAAACCCCAAACTTATTTATACTGATGATGTTACTTAGTTGAGTAATGAAATGTCTGCAAACAAACTTCCAAGCTCAGAGAGCACCAAGGACACTACAGTTCAACCCTGAGCTACGTGTATTTTCTTCTATTGCAGGTGAAGCAGTATAAGTTGTAGCATTTCACACAAACATTTCACACATTTCAGCAAAGACAGTACTGAATCACCATCAAAGGGCTTGTGAGAGTCTTGGGGATGAAAATGGTAGAAGTGGCCTAACGGTCACTTACCCCAAATCTGTGCATCTGCTGAGGCAAGCTGCAGCTCTCTAAAAGCATATGCCTTTTAATTAAATTTGGGAGTTGGAAAAGATGCTACCAGATGCCTTCTGATTTTTTATTTTATCACCATAGAATAACATAGCTCTTCTCATACAATGTCCCAAATCATTAAGTACATTTTATGGTCAAATGGAGATTAAGATCTATTGCATAGGCCAAAAATTAACACACTGTTTTGAGCTCAAATAAATTTGTTGCAGAGCTCTATGTAAGTGGAAACAAGATAAATAGACAAGATTTACAAAAATACAGGACAAATAGAAAAAAAATATTAAGAGTCTCTGACAGTATATTTGGACATTTAAGATTTCTATCTTATTTGATCAGTTAATGATGGAAAGAGAATTGATTATAGTCAATTCTGATTGTTTGACTGAATACAGTCCATTTCTGAAAGGTACTGAATCCAGTGCCCATTCCATTCAGCTGTGAAAACTAAATACTATCAAACATTAATATGACTGTTATTTTCTTGTGTCACATGCATTTCTGCTTTAACCATGAGTATATGTCTCCAGTTTCATAAGCAATTTTCTTCAGAATTCTTAGGGAGAATATTTCTTGTTGATAAGACTGTATTCTAATTGTTATTCTGTTCCTTCCAGTGCCTTTCTCGTGATGCTGGTGGAAATCTTAGCATTCAGTTTCTTGGAACAGTGGTGAGTAATAGACATTTTATAAAAAAAATAACATACAGTTTTCATTTTATAAAAACTTAAGATACAGTATTCATTTCATATTTCTGTATTTTTTAGTTATATGAAGATTTGTATTTTGATTAAAAGGAGGAAAAATCCCCCCCCTCAATATTTTGAATATTTTTTCTTTCCCATCTTGGCTTAAACTTAATAACACCTGTATGGTTATCTCTCTCTCTCCTCCTCCCTCCTTCCCTCAGATGGTTATATAAGATGGCTAAGGGAATGAACTATGCATCTGGGGAGGAGCTACACAGTTCACTGGCTGATAATTAAGCAATGAATCTGCAAACATTTAGAGTCAAGCAAAATTACAGGTAGTTCTCAAATTACAACAGTTTGTTAGTGACCAAAGTTACAACGGCGCTGAAAAAAGTGACTTATGACCATTTTTCACATTTATGACTGTTGCAGAATCCTAGCTTAATAACTGCAGTGATTCATTTAACAACTGTGGCAAGTAAGATCATAACATGGGCAAAATTCATTTAAAAATGTCTCACTTAGCAACACAAATTTTAGGCAAATTTTATGAAGGCAACATCTTCAAAAACAATTTAGATGAAGGATAGAAAAGAAACTCATCAAATTTACAGATGACACCAAGCTGGCAGTAATAGCTAACACTCCAGAAAAAAAGCTCATAATAATAGGGGTGACATGATAGCAATCTTTGGTTAACTAAAGGGCTACCACGAAGAAGAGAAGGTCAACCCATTCTCCAAAGCATCTGATGGGGGATAAAAGGCAATGGATGGAAACTAATCAAGGACAGATCCAACTCAGGGGCGGGCTTCAAAAATTTTAGCAATACATTCTCTTCCCAGTTATTGGGTGAGCGTGGCCATAGTGGCCATATCCTAGTCAGCCTCCTGCACCATGGCAAAAGGGGGGGGCGTTTTTGTCCTCCCTGGGCTCCGGAGGCTTTCCTCAAGACTCTGGGAGGGCGAAAATGGCTTGCCTGGGTTCCAGAGGCTCTCTGGAAGCTGGAAACGGGCTTGTTTCCGGCCTTCCTTAACTTCTGGGAGGCCCATTTTTTGCCCCCCCCCCCAAGCCTCTGCACATGCTCTGCACTTACCTGCATCCAAAACGGACCGCGTGGGCCACAGTGGTAGAATTCAAATTGTTTACTATCAGTTCTGTAGGTGTGGTTTGGGGGGCGTGGCAGGGGAAGAATACTGTAAAATCTCCAGTCAGAGGTGGTATTTGCCGGTTCTCTGAACTACTCAAAGTTTCCGCTACCGGTTCTCCAGAACTGGTTAGAACCTGCTGAAGACCACCTCTGGCGTGGGGACTCCTGGGAGGGGTGGGTTGGGGTGGGAGGGGTCAGCCAGGAGTGGGATTTGGGGTTCTCCAAACTGCAGAATCTTAGCTAGAGGAGCTCCCAAACCCATGCGAACCCCCAGCAGCGAACCCTTAATCCAACCTATTGTTTAGAAATAAGGAGAAATTTCCTGACAGCTAGGACAATTAATCAGGGGAACAGCTTGCCTCCAGAAGTTATGGATGCTCCATCAGCGGAGGTTTCTAAGAAGAGATTGGAAAGCCAATTGTCTGAAATGGTATAGAATCTCCTGCTTGAATTGGATGGATTAGAGCCTCCAATGTTCCTTCTGTAATTCTGAATTTCAACTGGCCTTTGTCTGACTTGAATTCTCAGCTGAGAGGAAGCACATTCCTATTTTCCAACAGAATCACAATCAAACAAGAGACTTTTTGTGCATGCCTTTATTGTGCGTGTGTGTGTATGAAATGAATTTCCATCTACCATTGTCATGTCAAAGTAAAAGCGGGAAATCTAGAAAAACAGTTGCCACATAAAGCTAGAATCTAAATAATAGCAAAAATTAAATCCGAGTTTAGTCATCTTGGACTATAATAAACCTTTAAACCCAGAATAGTGATAAATAGAAATTTTTGAAACAACAAACTAATAGTGAAAACTCCAAAATGGATCACAGCAGATGATAAAAAGAACCACCACAAACATTTCTAGGTAGTACCAATTTGTTATGATAGTATCAGAAAAAATTGAAACCCAAAATGCAGATGATATTAAGAACAAAAACAAGATCAATTGAAAGTAGAAGAGTAAACAGGAAGAAGAAAAAAGACAAGCTGTGTATTTTGAGGAATTATTTATCAAAGTGCATGGGATGAAAGGATAATCTTCTGAATAGCTCCAGATTTTAATAGTTTTGGGTGGTTGTCTACCTGCTTTCTGCTGAGTATGCAGAGTTGTTAGGCTTATGTAAGGAAGGCAGGTTTTAAAGGGTTAAAGAGTTTAAAGGGTCCTGAGAACTGAGAAAAGAACAAGAAGAAATATAACCCTTTTCTACTGGTAGTCTCTGAAAAGAAAAAGTGAAGAACAGATATGCATCTGTAACTATGTGGTAAGTTTGTCTTTGTGACTGAAAAGCACAGCATATACTTGTACCAAATGCTGTCCTTCAAGAAAAAGTGCAAGGATTGCAGTAGTGCATGGCCACATTTCAGATGATGAGAAAAGACATTTTATCAGCCCAAAGACAGGACAGAAACAACAGAAACTAGCAGCGGAAACAGCTTTTTATAAGGAAGACAAATACAGGAATAAGATCAACAATCGAAAGCAAGAGACATAGAAGATTCTGCTAGAAATAATAAATAGATTTGGAGCCTTGCAGATAAAATGGGCTGTATGGATCATTCAAGGAAAGAAAAGAGACACTGCAGAACAGAAACGTAACAGTAGTAGATCCTTCAAGAGAAGACAGGATGCATCTTTGCCCTCTAAGAAGGGAAAGAAGAGAGTTGTGATAATTGGTGACTCACTACTATGAGAAATTCAAACAAATGTATGCTGTCTAGCCATGTCAGCTTCTGAAGTGGCTGCCTGCCAGAAGCAAGGATCAAAGATGTGACAGAACAAATTTCAAGACTTTTTAAGTCCATAACATACAATTTTGCTAATATCTGCAAGAACAGATAGTCATGCATAATAATACAGTCCTCCTCCCCCTCCCTCTCCCCTCCCTCTCCGTCTCCCCCCCCCTCCTCTTCCTCCTCCTCCTGTATCTACAACAAGAAGCACTGGTGAAGAATTAGCCCACATACAAAACAGACATAATTCTAAATTAAATGAAAAACTATGACATCATTTCTAAAGGACTGAGTATGAAGAATCCTCTACAATTTACCTATTGCACTGACTGCAGCCAAAGAAGATGTTGCCAATAAAGCAGAATATTTGTAGCTCAAGGTTGTTTTCTGGTACATTATCCAAACTAGGTAACACCATCAGTGCTAGTCTTAAGGCTAGACTAAGATGATATCATATTCTTTCTCAGAAACTCCTAAACTGGGCTGTTTCTTTGTCTTAATTATTGTAACAATTAGAATATCGGTTTTTATGGAATGCCCTCAAAACTTATGTCATTTACATAAGATACATCACAGACCTCTTAAGAAAACTTGTAATCTCCCTAACATTTTTCCATTATGAAAGCATTAAATCCCATCATACTCCACAAACATAGACTTAAAGCCACAACTTCTGACAAAACAGCTTTCTTTGCCAACACACCATATATCTTTCTATCCACCAATAACTATATCATCACTGGCAGTAACATGTAACTGCAAAAATCACTGGCTCAGCCATGTGCACATACATATCAAATGATAAAAGTTAGGGAATATTTAGCTAATATGTTTCAAAACAACAGTCTGTAACATATATAATAATTCAAAGAATATGAGATAGTTGCTTGTTCATAGAATTGTTATGTCTTTGCCAGGAACCAGAAGCAGATGGAAAATGAATTCATCAGCTTAGCAATACTCAAAATTCTGGTTTCGGCTAGGGAGCCACAACCTTTAGTGGTGAATTCTTGATGTTCTCATTTGCCACTTTTTCTCTGCTGTTCTCTTCAAATGAGGTAGAAGGCTTTTTATAGGGCGCCTCTGAAAACAGGCTGGGAATAAACAGTTTGGAAGAATTTCAGGAAGAAAACAGGGAATTGACTGGTTGCTTTTTGCTCCTGTATTCTGTATCCAGTTAATCTAGAAGTGATAATCAGGTTTTGTCACATTTACTTGTATGTCATATAAATAAATAATAAGACAGATTGGCTCATTGGATGCATGTTGAAGATATGCATGATTCTCTCATGTATATTATTACATAACATATATGTAATATTATGTTTAAGAGTATATTTGAATTTCAACTGTTGTTGGGGATGGTAAAATAACTGGCATATTTAGAATGTAACTGGTGGATTCCCTTTTATTATTATTATAATACGCTTCTACTCTGAATCTCAGGGATACAAAATCAAATGAGGAGGTTAAACCTAATTTAAATCTCATATTTTAAATTAAATTTTCTTTTTATTGACAATATTTTTTAAAAAATATAAAGATGAGATATTATTTCTCATTACTCTAAAGCGCTTCAATGATACAAGTAAAACAAGCAGGTTTTTACAATATTTTAACATCTTGAATGCTATTAATATAACCCTTGACACCACATCACAGTTAGATTTCAAAGGAAGCATTTCATATGTAACAGCGATTAATGACAACCATTGGAAACAATTTTGAACTCCATCAGTTTAACTCAGGAGGGCAAACTTAATATGATAATTTATCTAGTTGAATTGTATCAGCTTAGCAGGAAAATATGCAAATGTGTGACCCTTACCTAGCATGTAAATCGCTGCTGTGCTGGTAAATTTATCAGTTCCATTAATGAACTTTGGGGAACTTTGGAATTTTCAGCATTTGTTCCCTTGGAGGCCGGAAACCAAACCTGAACTCATACTGGGACCATTCTGGTCTGCATATTTCCATAATTTGCTGCTGCTACTAATATGACAGCAAGACACAAATAACTGTTTCTAATAATATCAGATGGAGTTGTGGAGGACAGCATTTTAATGTAGTAAAAGACCTCCCTGTGGGGTTGTTATTGG